TGTTTGCTTCTTGCAAAAGTTGAAATTTTCATATATCTCCAATATGGAATGTAATCTATTAGTCTTTTTGAATTAGTTGCTTCAGTTTTGAAATTCAGATTTGAAACTGTTTGTCATTTTTACTACCTCAAAATATATATATATATATATATATATATATATAGGCTCCGTAATAAAATTCTTCATTTTTGTATCCAACGTCTTTTATTGGTTATGTTCCGAATAAGAATTTAATTCCTTTAATTAGAAAATCAAAACGAAGTAATATTCTTATTTTAGACTACAAAATGGAGAATTAGTTCATGGAGAGTCTTTTCTTTCATTCATTCTTGCATACACAAGACATATTTTCTGATTTTCTAATAAAATTCTTCTATATTCATTTTAATTTTACTAAATTTTTAATTGTTTCTATTTAATTTTGTATGAATGTGGAAGAATTTGCTATGTGGAAAAGATAAAACTATCCTTTTTTTTTTTTTTTTTTTTTTAAACTGTTATTCCTTCTTACTTATTAACCTGAAGTTGTTTTTATTGAGTCATAATGATAAAATAGATGTACTTTATTTAAATAATTATAACTTAATTTTGTTTCTGTATCTGTGAACAATTTAACATTTTTATTTGCATATAATACAGTAGAAAAGAATCATTCTGGCATCAGTGTTAGATAACAATAACTTACTGGATAGCATTAAACAACAAAAATAGGACACAAAAATTGCAACATTTTACATTCCTCCTTATAAATTCATAATTAGAAATAACATTTTCATTATAAAAAAAAAATGAATACAAAATTGATTGACTTGAAATTATAACTTTTGATTAATTTTAAAGAAACTGTTTAGGACAAATTGATTTTGTTAACATTATCTTTCTGTGACAGTCTCTTTAGTTCTGCAAATTTTCAGAGTCCCATTTTGCATCAAGTTATAATTCTTCAGCTATTTTGTGATATGTTCTGAAATGGTCTCTAGGGAGTTAATTTCATTCTGATGAAACTGACCTTTTGTCAGACTTTGATTTAAAAAATAATAAAATCTTAAGAAAAAAGGACTTGAGACTTAGAACTACTACAAATTGTTGATTCTGTAAACAAAGCTAATTTGTACTTAAATATTTTGAATATTAATGTGGATATATTTGATTGAAGCAAAATAAAATAATTTTACATTTTTATAACTAAATTTAACAACTTCATATGGTTAATAGGTAAATTTCATTTTCTGTATCATCACCAAAAGCTTAAATATTCTCTCAGAATCACCAGATCTTTTATTTTATAAATAATAATTTAACTAAATGACTTTCAGAATAAATTTGCCAAAAGCATTAAAAATGACTTGACAATTTCTTTTAAAATTTTATCTTAATTCTTGTTGCCTTCCAGAATTTACAAGGAGTGTTAGAACTAGTAATTCTGAAAGTAGGAATGAAACTTACTTCATGAAGTTAAACATATAATATTACTAGCAGCCATAGCCAGCTGGTTGATCAGAAAAAAAGTTCACTTAGAATGGAGGAAAAACAGCATCATGTTTAAATGTAACGGTCTATCTTCTTCAATTACTTTAAAGTACTTTTATTAAAAAGCATTTTGAATTAATGCAGTTACTGATATAACAGAAGTATTCTGTATTTATTCAATCGAAGTTAGCTGAGGACATGAGGTAAAATAGGCAACATGAAGACCCACTTCAGACCACAATTATTTTGAAGTTTTTGAAATTAAATTTGTCAGTGTGCTACCAGGGATGTAAAAGAGGATACATTTATACAGGTTTTCACTATATGGGTGGATTCAATTATCAAGTTAAATGACTGTTAAACAATTAAATTATTGTTGGCTACAGTTGAATGAAGTTTGTATTAGATTGCTTGAAATTTGAGGGAGTTTTTAATTTAAAATTTGTGTGGAAATTGATTTTTCATTTTTTGCTAAATGCAGTGGCTAAGAAATAAAAAATAAGATATTGTTGAGCTCATCATGATGTAAGTAACCTACATACCAAGTTTGAACAAAATCGGAGGAAAAAAACTGAATTTATCAATTTTTGATCAGCTTTATTGATTTTTTAAAAATTATCAATTTTTTTTTTTTTTTTTTTTTTAAATGAACCTATCTCTTACATTGTACAATGTATGTGCCAAGTTTGGTCAAAATCTTTTGGATGGATCTCAAGTGAAAAACTATCAGGCAGACACACTCAGATATCCTCTGTTTTATATACACATATACATATATATAAATTTAAAGAAAACCAGACAACTTTAAGGTTCCATAAAGTTATAATTTATTTCCCCAGGGATCTTCTTGTTCCCTGGATCATCAGATCACTTCCAGGTATGAAAAAATTGAATTTAAACTTACACATTTGGAGGGTAGTATTCAGCCATACGGATTACCAAGATTTTCATTACTGATATATATATATATATATATATATATATATATATATATATATATATATATATATATATATATATATATATATATATAAAGAGAGAGAGATAATTTAACTAAATGACTTTCATAATTAAATTTGCCAAAAGCATTAAAAATAACTTGATGATTTCTTTAAAATTTAATCTTAATTCTTGTTACTTTCTTGAATTTACAAGGAGTGTTAGAACTAGTAACCCTGAGTGTAGGTATTTCGGTATGAAACTTACTTTATAAAGTTAAATATATATTATAATAATTCCTCATTTTTAACACTCACTATGCTTCCAAGACAGAGCTTTGCATGTAACTATTTGTTTTTAGATTTAGAAGTTAAGCATAATGTTTAAAATTATTATTTTAAACCTAAGCCATAACCCTAACCTTGCTATCAAAAGAGCCCACTTCCCACCCTCAGAAAAATAAAATAAAAAAGGCACAAACACACACACACACATATACATATCCTTAATGCCAGATCCTATATCTCTGTTTGTTTTTAATTTTTGCTTAGCTTTTATTTAATGATACATGAGTATTGTTGTGTTTCAGCCTCTAGTGTGCTAGTGTCACTTGTCTAGTCAAGGCTTTTTGGAAATGGTTCATTTGCCCCACCCCTAACCAACTGGAAGACTATCCAAATAAACATGCTTCGAAACTTGGCACTCTATAAACAATACATTATGCTGCACATGGCAAACTGTACATGAGTATCCAAGTGATATATAACAGTGCATCATGGGAACTCTCTTGTATGTAGACATAAACAAATGGCAAAAATATTTTCATCATTAACTTCTTTTGACAAAAGGGAGGCAGAGCAGACAAAATTCAAAAAGTTTAAATACCAATAAAAAAAAAAAGAAAAAGTGCACTTTGCCTGACATGTGTACTTGTCTACACTTATTTCAATATACATATATCTGTTGTTATTATTAATATTATTATTATCAATTTATGCTATTCTGCAATCATTTTGAACAAAACAAACATGGTACACACAACTTTCAGTTAATAAGACAATGAAGTTTTTTTTATTTTATTTTTTTTTTTTTGGTGGGAGGGAGGAGATTACCAAATTTGTTTTACTTAGACAGATTATATGACAAGTATTGAACTGGCCATGTTTTTTGTCTACTCTTGTATTTGCTTGACTAAGAATTAATGAGAGCTAGGTCTTGTTTCAGGAGATGTGCTCAACAGTCTGTACCTCCTCATTGCACTTAATGGGATAATACCAAGTTTGAGGGAATGGAACAGGTTTCCTCTTCACACACATACATATGCACACAATAAAAGGGCATTCTTAAGAAATGTTAAAGTGAGATGATGATAAAATATCCCATAAAACTTAACAAAAATAATTGATAAGGAGGGACTTTAAATAAATAGAAAGGATAAACAGCTCATTTATGATTAGATAAAATTGTCATATTCCCCAAATCTAAGGAATTGTCAAAATTCAAGTTGAAAGTGGATCTTTTTAAATTTACCAAAGCAAATGATGTTAAGGACTTCTAAGTATTAGGTTCACATCTGAAAGTGGGTAAAACACAAAAAAAAATTTATTAGGGACACATTTCATTTCCAGAAAGGAACTTCTTCAGATAATGGTTTCATTGATGAACTCAATCTTGTATATAAAAATATACATAATCTTCAGGTGATGAGTGTATAACAGCACCTGAGGATTATGCTTGGCATGAAACTCCAAGTAGTGCAAAATAGTGTGGGATATGTATATTCATTATATATATATATATATATATATATATATATATACACACACACACACACACACACACTCTTTATCAGTCTGTTATATAGCATTGAGCACTGTTTTAATAACACCAGCACTTCATGTGCAATTCATATATTTACACACACACACACACACAATATATAAATATATATATATCAGGGAGTGGCTATAGTTGTTCCAACAAGAGAAAAGTGTATATATTAAAGAGAAGAGAGAAACTGCAAACGTTTTTGGTTATAATGAGGATTTTTTTAAAATATATATTATACTTTATTTTCCATATTTTTGATACATCAGGCAAAGTGTGATTATTTCCACATATTATTTAAAAGGAATTAATTTTCCTTATGTATTCCAATGTTTAACCATTGTCTTTTGCATGTAGTAGTAACCCAAATTTTTTTTTTTTACCACAAGTCCAAGATAAACCTTTTTACAGCTTAAGCAAAGTGATATTTCATTATTTTTTTTTACATTGGCTATTGAGATATTTCTGAGGGTTCAATATTATATCCTTTATCTGTTATTATATATCTGCTAGTGGGGTAGAGAGGTAAACACTAATGAAAGTGATTAACATCAGGCAGTCTTTCATCTATAGATAAAATTCATCCATTTATGACATTTGCTTTTATAAAGATTGTTAATTTACAATATGGAGATTAACATAATTGTAATTCTTTGGTCTGCACTGCATTAAGAAAATAAGATATTTAAACAAGAATTTAAATTTTTATTTCCTTGTTTGTATGAATCGTATTGCTTCTTCACCGCTCTTCTTTCTTTTAACAGAATCAGCTGATAGCTTTACTGAACCCAACCAGTTCCAAGATACAAGCAGTTCAGGTAAATGCTAAGCTTCTCTCATCTACTTAATTAACCCATTCTAATTCTACCAAATCTTTCAACAATGACCATTCACTCTGAAGTCTGCAAGTTATTCTCAAAAAGTCAGAATATGAGAAAGTTTGTTTTCATTTTCAGCTGTAATTTAATTATCAAAGCAAAACATTCATATATTTTATATTCATTACACATAAAGTGGAATATTTAAAGCTTTTATCATTTTGATCCTTATTGTTTACAGCTCACGAAACCAAAAAATCTACCATCTTAAAGAATTAGGAGATGAAAAAAATAAAAAAAAATCATCTCAAAGTATTTTCATTTATGCACTGAATACTTGGCTGGAGCTACTTTTGCACAAATTACTGCATTAATGTGTCACCACTAAGGTGATCAGCCTGAGGCACCACTGAGGTTATGGAAGCCCAGGTTTCTTTGATAGCAGCCTTCAGCTCACCTGTATTGTTGGCGCTAATGTTTTCTCATCTTCCTTTTGACAACAGTGCCCTATAGATTCTTTATGGGGTTCAGGTTAGGTAAGATGACCGGTGAATCAAGCACAGTAATACCATAGTTTGCAAACCAGTTACTGGTAGTTTTTCTCCTGTGGTCAGGTACCAAATCTTGCTGAAATAGGATATTGGCATTTTTATAAAGATTACCAAGTGAAAGAAGTATAAAGTGGTCTAAAATCTACTGGTAGATGGCTGAATTGTCTTTGGACTTGATAAAACATAGTTGGACCAACACCCACAAATGACATGGCATCTTAAATCATCACTGGGGAAACTTCACACTGGACTTTAAACAATTTGGATTCTGGTGATTCTCTACTCTTGTTTTAAACTTGAGGACCTTGATTTCCAAATGAAATGTAAAATTTACTTTCAGCCAGAGAAGGAAACTTTGGATCAGTGAACAACAATCCAGTTCTTTTCTCCTTAACCCAAATAATCTTTTTGACATTTTTTTGTAATCCGTCACACAAACACACATACAAGTAATAAAAGAAAGACTTCAATGTAAAATAAAGTATTTATTTACCAAACACTATTTAAATACATTAACAACAAAGAAGTAACGAGTCAACAGAAAGATTATTGATTACTTATCGGTTAATACACGAATGCATAGAGCTGCTAAGAAAAGTACTAATTCGTCTTGAAAAACTGGACACTCTACTTTAACATCCGGGTTAACACAATAGTCAACATGTAATTGTAAATGCCAGTTAGTGACATGATATTTCTGTTTATAGTAAATGGTGGTCTACATTTTCATTGTCTAGAGATTCATGTTCAAACTCTGATGTTAGCAGTGACACTTTTCATTCATATATGACACATTGTCTGTTTCAAAAGTGGCTTGACATTAGGAATGCAATACTTGTAGCCTCTATATGGTAATTCTTGATAAAGCTGACTTCATCCTCAGTCCACTCCTTTTGAAGCTGTCAATCAAATTTTCTTGACAATCCTCTCAAGGCTGCAGTCATTCCTCTTGTTTGTGTAACATTTCCTACTCTTCCAGTCAAACTTGCATGAATATACTTGAAACAACACTCTGGAGACAGCCAAACCTTACAACATTTACATTTACCACAAGAAGGAAGGTGTCAATATCAACCAGTCTTCCTTATTATTGTCTTTCTGTGTACTGAAGCAAACTGAGAGATTTTTCAGATTTATAGTTGCATATATAATAATTTACTGAAGATCAAATTTTCTATTTGGAATTTGTTTTTTTTTTTATGTAGGTTGTAATTATCAATATTAAAATGTTTTAAACATTTTAGTTTCTATGTTATGAGTCTAGAATATATACAATTTTCAATTTCAGAAATAATTGATAAAAAATATAGAACTCTTTAACAATATTCTAATATTTAGTATTCTTTCCTCTCCAACATTGTTAGGTTGTTTTTAAAAACCTGCTTTTCAAAAAAAAAAAAAAAAAAAACAAAGCAAAGAATTAATATTATTGTAATAAATTAAATGTTAGTTTCTTAGACTTGGTGTTCTAAAGATATATTGGTGTCTATAGTGTTAAGCAATTGTATAATTAAGGTGATTAGTTATTGTAACTTGTGATGAATTATAAAAGTAAATTGTTTTATGAGTTTAATCTGTAGATAGGTTATTGTATTTTAATAGTAAATTACTTTTAAGAAAATACATTCTATAGTTGGCTAAGGCTGGAAAAAATTGGTAAAGTGCATTTAATTTCTTTTTTAAATGACAAACTATCAGTATTCAAGATTTAAATTTATACATATATATATATATATATATATATATATATATATTATAAAATTGATTTAAAATATGGTTTTTTCCGCTACACAGTTCTAACCATGTTTCAAAAATAGAAGCTAAAAGCCCTAATTTAATTTAATTTTGCAATTAAATTAAAAGCATTAGTTCTATTTCATCTTCAAAGCGAATTTTGGAGTAACTTTTAAAAAATTACTGGGTTTTAAAGACACAGCTAAAATCACATTTCCATGATTACAGAATATTCTACTTCAATTGGACAATTACCAAATTGTAGCTAATAACTGATACAATGATACTGACATAAGGAAAACCTAGACATCCTTTGTCCAATTGTCTGGTATGATACAATGAACCAACTTTACCAGCAGCAGACCTAGCAATTGATTCAGTATAATCATTTGACTTCACACCAGTGGAAAACATGAGCCCAAGAAGGCACAATGAATTGCTCTCTAGGAGGTTAGCATCAGCCATACTGACAGAAAGCAAAAAAGGTTCTATATGATGATTTAAAAGTTAGCAGTTTTGTTTTAGAGGCATCCAAATTTACAAGCCATTTCTTGCCCTCAAAACTGATTGGAGGTCATTTTCAAGAGTAACTCCTAGTTTTATTTTGTTGGACTTACCAGACTTACTATTAAGACAGGAGTAATACTGCAAATTATTTACAGGCATGAACTCTAAAAACTTCTTGCTACCCAAAATCCCTTCATTTTAAAATGCATCAAATTGAACTGCCGTTTTCATTCTTCTCCCTTTTGTATTTAGTTTACATCTGTGTAAATTTCCAAATTCTTAATTTGGAAGTATATTTGATATAACAAAAGAATGAGAACCACATGCTTCTGGTAAATCAAATAAGATTTTGCTTGATATTTGCAGAAGATTGCAGAACTGTAACAGTCACCTGAAGATGGCTGGAATGTACAATACTGAAATGTCATGATAAGGCAAAAAAATTTAAAAAAAAAACAAGGAAACATTTTATCTGAATTTTGTTAGTGTTTTAATAAGGTCAAAAAATAGAGAGAATCAGTGGTGAATATAATAATGGAAGGAATCTGTAAGCAAATCAAGTATGTTAGAATGTGGGTGCCATTAATCAAGAAGGAGTGGACCATAAACCTGTAAGTTCACAGATATTGTGGCACATGTGAAGCTCAAAGAGCAGTCACAAGGTTAGCACAGATGTCAGAGGGGGATAGTCTTTAGTTACACAGACCCCAAAAAGCAAACAAGTTTGGTGGTGGAAATGCATATGCATCTCCAAATTAAGATTTAACAATGTTCTGGAGTACAATAGATATCTAAAAGGAGGACAGGAAGCACCTGTCAGTGTTTGGGGGTGAGATTGCATATAAAAGAAAATGAGGAATGTAATGTAAAGAAAATGAATTAGAAGGAAACTGCTCTGTAAGATTCAACATGTATTGGCTGTTAGATTCAAAAGAATCATAAACATATCCAACATTGTTCAGATATTCAAATCTTATTTTAGCATCTGAATAAAGTTGAATATATTAATACCTGTTCTCAAACTTACAGGCAATATCATTTAGTGTCAGTCTTGACCTGAACTAAGTATAAAATGAAAACAGAGAAATTATCACTTAGTTTCCCAACCAATTAAAAACAAATATAAAGATGTGATTTAAGCATCTGAAAAACTTTGGATAAATCAATGTATAATTATAAAAATGCCTTGTCTCAAAAATTCAGACCAGTATATATATATGTTTGAATTTGAATGGTTATAATGTCATAAATCATTCAACTTTTTTTTATGCTATTCAGCCAATACATGGCCCAAGAGTGATTCTAGACTTACTAAAAGAGGTTGTTTTAAGGCATACAAGGAAAGAATAAGAGATGCATATCATGAGGATATGTAGGATAGATAATGGTTGATCCTAGACTTGAAGAGATTAAGATTGCAGTGATTGGAAAAGCATCCTTTTGGGAGTCTGTTCTACAATGTCCTGGGGAAGATGTTGTTTGACTGGAACTTCAGCCTTACCTATGGAATGCAAAGGGAATGAGGATAAGTCAACATGGTATACATAGTATGGCAGGTCCTAGCTATGAAGATCTGAACTGGTGGAACTGTAATTTGTCTGAACATTTACGATTGAAATAGTGATAGAGTAACAATAGGCTTGTGACATTTCATTTGCGGGAAAGGGTTTCTAGGGTTGGCAACAGTTCATCACCCGAAAGGCCATGTTAAAAAAAAATTGTGCTCTGTCAAAGCTGGAAAGTGAGGATTAATCAGCTCCAGCCTAGATGTGGCAGCAATAACCCATTTTTGGCTCTTGTGAACATCAAGCATAGCAGGAGGAGTTGGATACTTTCTGGAACGGTACAAGAAATCAGCCATTTTCCAAGCATCTTTAGGAATAGATCATATGTATATATATGAGTTCTACTTGAGGTTTGGAGTGAGCTGGATTTCAACTTAATCTAAAATGGGACATTATGGAATGTTACTTTCATTATCTCAATTGTTTGCATAAAAAATTATTTAAGCACACAAAATTCAACTTAAGATAATAAATTAATTAAAGTGAGATTGTTAAAAAATTAAGAATTTATCGACCAACATATGCCAAAGCACACATCGAGACTGCTTTGTGAAAGTTTGTATAAAATACAGCTGTATATGATAGCTTCTTTCTTTCCTCTATCTCCCTACTATTATCATATGGAAAATCTGGATCCTCTTCA